AATCGTGTGCCCAAGTATTTTCGGGTAGTCATGGATTAGAGCATCTCCAGAGGTCCCTTCCTACCTCGACCCTTCTGAGGAAGGAGCTGRCGAGGGCAGCTCGAACGACAACTCCTCTCATGTCAGCAGCAGGGAGAGGGTCTCACAGGTTGTTCCCAGGACATCCTGGTCAACACTTTCTCGCCACACACCCAACTTGCACCAGACATCTGTAAAGTTCTTTTTATTATTATTATTATTATTTCAACTCTTTCTTGCAGTAGATGCCTTCCTTCTAGCAGGCCACCTGTGCAAAACCTCAGCAGAGGCAACTAAGCCTCGCAAGTGCAAAACAGCTCTGTGGCCTGCCCAGAAGAGATTATTTCAGTTGGAGCATGAGGCAGGTTCCCAATTTTATAAATTTTATAAATGGGGAGATTTGGGGAATCTGCCTCATGCTCCAACTGAAAAGCCCTTCCACTCCCCTAGCCCACGTGGTCCCCATGCTCCGGCCTCTGGAGCTCCAGTCCTCCAGCCATCAGAGCCTGCTCAGTTGGTGCTGGCTCCTTCTGCCACTGGGAAAAGGAGCTTGACTCTGATGGACTCAGGATGTCCAAGTGCYCAAAATAACATGAACTTGGGAAAGGAGGACGAGAGGGAGAAGCAAAGCGTTGCTGTTCAACATGAGGGAGGGCTGTCCTTCCTCCCCCCTCAAATCTGTTCTGCTCATTCTGTTCTGCCCAGCACTCCTCAAAGGAAAATAAGTCCCTCACGATGTACTTATTAATCAAAAGGAATGCACTGAATATTGCAGCATTTGTATGCCAGCTTCGGTTGCCTGCTGCTTTGTTTGGGTGTCACAGGCTGTGACTATGACAACCACGAGCGGTTACTGGACTGATGTCATGTGTGACATCATGCGCTATGGAAAAGAAAGGGAAGAAGAGACACTTCCAAAAAGGAAAAAAAAAAAAAAAAAAAAGTCCATATGGAACAAAACCCACTTTCTATTCATCAAGCTCTGCCAACTCCCCTCACACAAGCAATGTCCTGAGGGACCATGAYGGTGGTGGGTGCTGCTGGAAAATCAGACAGGATCAGCCCCCAAGTTGTCCGTGTCAGGCTGGCGCTGAGCTTTCTGGAAAACCCGTGGTTGTCTTTRCCCTCCTCTCCAACTTGCATGGTAGTGAGTGCAGGTTCACACTCCTGTGCAGAGGAGCTCTTCACTCTCTTCTAGCTGAGGAGCCACCCTGTGATCTGCTAGGGGTGCTCCATCTCCACCTAAGCAGAGGTTAAAGCAGGAACAAAGGGGTTTAGCTAAGCCTARCTTCCCCAACTAAATTTATTGTGCTCTCCAACAAATTTCTCCTCCCCATCTGCCTTCTTTAGGTACATCAGTACTCCCCTTTTAAAAGCAAACACAGTCTGACCACAACAACACGGCAACCAAGTCCAGGGGAAGCACGCCAGGGATTTGCGATRACGAGCGCCCTGCAGAGAGGTGGGTTTCCTGTTGAAGTGACCTCCAGTCGGGCTGCAGCCAGAGCCGGATCCATGGCCTCCACAGGAGGCGGCGGCAGCTCTGCTGCCTCGTTGTGCACAGTCATCCCCGCGCGTCGCGCCAGCGCTCCGAGGACACGGCGCTGCCCGAGGCGCTCCGTGCTTTGCSTTTGCTTTCTCAGCAGCAGTTCGTACATGCAGTGCTCCTACTTCAAATACAAGACCAAAAAAAGCCTCCAACCCCCCCCAGCCACCCAAAGGAGCATCTCCTTTGCAGTCGCACATTCAAGACAGCGCATGGTGCGACGCCCACGCGAGCTTCCCAGCCAGGTATCAGGGGTGATCTGGTTCAAACTGCATCATGAGAACACAGCTCAGCCACAATAAAAATAAARCCCAGCTGTTTACAGAAAACAGTTGGCAAACTTCATACATTCCTCACGAGAAACACTGACTACGCACTATGAAACGTGCCCGTTCCTGCTGACCTCCCCTGCTTCAGCAGCCTAGTGCCATAGCGTGGCCTCAAGACCCCTCGCTGCTGGCACCCCCAATGAGTAACCAACCTACCAGCTCCTCCTCGTGTGCAGCATCCCAAGGAGAAGTCAGGAATTAGAAGGAGAGGGGAGAACAGCAAAGGAAGTCTCCTTTCTCCATCAAGTCTCTCCAACTTGCATCACACATCCCTGAATGCCTGGTCCCAAAACATTTAAGGGCCACACTAAAGAGCAGTGCAGACAGCAGACACAGAGGAACCAAACTTCCCCAGCTTCAGTTKCTCCCTCACTTTGAGCAGCACAACTTTACAGCAAGCATCACCCTGCTGCAACAGCAGACACTCGCATTCCCCGGCTTCTGTCAAACACGCTCCTGTCAAACACCATTTCACACGCCACAGAGACAGGTGGAGGGGACTTTACAGGCTCCTTTCAGCGCTGAGCAATGACCACACCACACTGCAATCATTTCAGAGCCACCAAAAACATTCACAAGTTACTGGGGCAGCTTCCAAGAAGCAGGCTACTCTCTTTATCTTTCACCCCCTTAAAACAGCTATGAAAGAGCAGAGGCAGACTGCCTGCCTCGGTCAGCATCACAGAATCACAGGATGGTTGAGGTTGGAAGGGATCTCTAGAGATCACCCAGTCAACCCCCTGCTCCAGCAGGGACACCCAGAGCACAGGGCGGCATCCAGGCRGGTTTGGAAGCTCTCCAGAGAAGGAGACTCCACARCCTCCCTGGGCAGCCTGTGCCAGGGGTCTGTCACCCTCACAGGAAAGAAGTTCCTCCTCACATGGAGATGRAACTGCCTGGGTTTCAACTTACACCCGTTGCCCCAGCTTTGCTTAGGCTTAGCTGATAACATCTATCTGACACTGCTGGGCTGCCTCTGGAGAGGAGAGCACCCAACTAAAATGAGTCTCTTGTTTATTCCACTTAGGGCAGCAAAGAGCACCCACRTTCATTAGGACGCTGGGATTCGTTAGGACAGCAGATTAGGAAACGCAAAGCAGAACTGTGCCAAGTTCCATCACTGCCTGCTTAAAGATATATATAAAGCAAACTTCAATTTTGCTTGAAARACAAGTGAGCAGCATTTCTAACATATGGATATACTCAGATTTAGTATGTAAACATGGCACCTTTCTAACAGCTACACCTGAGACAGTTGTGGGTACATCTGCTCAATTTATTCACTCAACCAGTTTCTCCCCACCATGGGTGTGGAAAGAAGCTACAGCCAGTTCTGCACTAGGCATCATAAGCGACTGAGATAAGTACAAACCCACAACTTGATTAGCAAGCCTCATGTGGCAGTTTAGTTGGGAGAAAGCATTTTTGATTCAAAAGAAGAGCGTGAGCTACAAAACTTGAGGGAAAAATAAATACAAGAGATGATTAATTATGAAAACTTCACATCCCTTTTCTCCCTGCTCCTGGACTCATTTCCAGTATCCTTCACAAAAGGCTCAAGATAGGATCCCCTATCCCAGCTTTTTTGCTTACCAATTTCTGAATGCCTGCTAGGTATTTGTTTTTCATTTTTGAGGAGATTTCTAGACTCAGTTTCTTTGTTTCCTTCCTATTAAAAAAACAGCCTTTAAGGCTGATTTCAGTTCGGGGTTTTATTCTACTCTGTCCCAAATAGATTTGTGTTGGTGTAATAGAAAACAGGCTGTATGCCACCAAAATAAAAATGGAAACAAAGTTCTGCTGATTTCCAAGTAACCATAGATTTCCATCACCACAGAGCAAGGGTAAAAATGAGATGGGAATTTAACTGATTTTAAAACTCAAAAACAAACTATGTAACTATTCTACTGGAAAAAAAGAAAAAAGGAAAAAAAAAACCCCACAATACACATACACCTCCTTTGCCCCTCACAAGGCTTTTCTCTAGCCTGGTACAACATCATCATTAAGCCCCAAATCTGATACTCTCAACCAGAAAATTCCTGCCTGTTTCCTCCTGCTTCCTCACACCTGGAGTCAGTACAAAGGACCTACATAAAAACAAACCCAGATCAGCTGCACCCAAACAGCCAGTCTGATTTTTAGCCCTCTTCTTCCACAGCTCAGCACATACCTCCAACTCCAAGAGCTTCCACYTAGGACATATGGCTGGAAATCTCTTGCCAGCCTTCCTTAAGAGCAGTGGTCAGTCCTAGCACAGCCCAGGCTGTCCCACCTGGCCATCCTCCAAACTATCTGCAGCTGGTGGAGCAACCACAGCCCTGGTTCCTCCAGCAACATGGGGGAGAAGCCCATGCTGTCCCTGCCCTTTAAACATATGAGACACAATCCTGCAATGTGGGGGAGAAGCCTATGCTGCCCCTGCTCTTTAAACATAYGAGACACAATCCCCACTGCTTTGGGGCTAGTGGAGGGACCCAGCCATGCAAGTGTCTCACCTGGTACAAAAGCTCCTCTCAAGTTCCTCTGCCTCACCAGCCAGGAGCACCAACACTGCTCCCTACCAGCACTGCTCCTCAGCTACCCTTCTSTTCTGGTAACAGCCTGGGTTGCTTTACAGGCACAAAAAAAACCCCTTGTGGCAGCCTATGTTCCTTGCCCTTTTCATAGTATGCAAGCTTTCTTCCCAAAGAACAACTCCTTGTCTCAACACTCCCAACAAGACTTTTGTCTTTCAAAAGCTGGTAGGGCTTGAAAACAGTAAGCAAGCTTCAGATGGGGTTAATGGTCCATTCTGTGGATCATGTTCTCAGTTAAACACATTCATGTGGTTCCTATCAGCAGTGAGGTAATTATCCAGCCTATGTGGTCATATAGTGCTGACTTTTTTTTTATGGSTTGCAGAGAGATGCTAAAGACATGCAACTGGCTCTGAAATGGTACATTTGCTTGTTCTAAACATTTCTTAAAGTGTCCTTAAAGGCAAAAAAAAAAAAAACCCCAAACTGCACCCACAAAACCCAAAATATTTCTTTCTTTTCCCTCCCAAAGGTTGATTCTTGATTTTCTCACTTTAAAGCAAAATAGAAAACAAAAAAGCTACTCACAGCAGTGTATTTCTTACATCCTGGGAATCTCAGTGTTTATAGTTTGAAGGTCAACAGAAATTCAGATACCTACAAAAGAGGAGARAAATCTGTGTAAGTCAGGAAAAAAAAAAGGTTGAGGAGAAAATAATGTGCATCCATTCCACTCTGACTGGCAATTCAGTGTTTTAAGGAGCATACGGGAATGCTGACAGACAGGAATTCCCACACTCCCATTTTCACTGACCACCATGAGGACGGGAGAGGAGCTTCCAAAGCTCCGAGCCCCAGTCCTGCTGCAGTAACACCATGTTCCTGGGGGTCTTGTGGGGGAAAGACACAYTTGTTCTTTAGGCCAGCAGAGAACACTCACCCACTGATGCCCTAAGATGCTGCTGATGCAAGAGATGCAAGGAGAGAATAAGGTTTGACATCAGGAGCTTTAGTAGCAGAATTTGATATAAAAACCCTTCCATTTGGCAGTGGCTGTGCAGGTGTGAACCTACACACACGTGAGAAGCTGCTCACCCAAGGAATAGGTTAGCAAGGAATAGGTGAGAGAAAAGCAATGACCAAAGGCAATGACAGCTCCAAGGAAAAGAAACAGATCTAGCTGAASCCCACTGCTTGTTCATTAAGAAAGGCAGACTCTTATTGATCACTTCAGCACAACCTTCATTTTTGACTCAAACCAAAGAGTTTGAGGTTGAAACTTCACACCTGCCTTGCTATCTGGCTACAGAAGGGTTTGTTGGGAAATCAGAAAGAAAGAAGAGCCTTCTGCTCCTTCCCAAAAGGTTAGGCAGGTATTTGTCCATTCTTTTTGAGCCAACAAAGTTTTTACGAATTGCTTTCCTGAAAGAACATCGTAGCTACACAAGTAACTGGGAGGCCGGGCACTGTTATACAACCAAAATCACTTTTAAAAGCTTAGAATAGAAAAAGCTACATGTTTATTCATAGATAAAGAGGAAACTGCTTCTCACTTTGCTCCATCGCAAAAGTAAGGCAAAATGCTAGTATCCCCGAATTGCAGAAGTGAGCAAACACAAAAAGGCTGTGGATTTTGTGCTACGTGCACCTCTGCCACCCTTTGGGTCTCAACAGGTGACTTYTTCTGACTGCCCTCTCTCTCTTTTGGGGCAGGACCCCCTTGTAACACACGTGCTGAGGAAGAGCATTTTTGTACTTTAGGTGCCTCATCCAGTGTCTTCTGCTGAGTTCACTATCTGAAATACTGTTGTTTCAGTGCTGTGACCAATCCATGAAGACGGCCAGTCTTGCCAGAAGGCCCAAACCGGTCCCTATGAATACAACATGTTGAACAACAACAGAATCACCTGTAATGTTAAACAGCTCTGTTTTTCCCTTGGCCTCTGACCCCTGGGAATCAGGGTCTCATCAGGGCTTGTCTTTGCAATCTGGCCAAACCCTCGTTCTTGGCTACTTGGGTCGCCATGGTCCTGCTGCCCCGTTCCATCCTGGCCAGCTCAGCAGAGCATCAATGCTGGAACTTGGCACTAGTTCTTGCCTCTTTGCCAATTCACTCTGTTTTCATATCCTAACTCCCTTTATTATCCTTGGTCCCAAAACATTGCAGAATATCCACTTATTGCCACAAGTGGTTCCAAATCTACCACATTCCTGCTATGGAGCCATTCTCCTGATTTGGGAACTCAACCGCAAGAAAAGCCCTTGTCACTCTACTCTTTCCAAAGAAGGTTAATCAAAAAATACACATATATGGCTGCTATTTAGGATTGTATAGCGAGCCTCACACATTTTGGTGCTTTTCCTGAAGGCCAAGATGTTGAAGGCAGCAGCTTCTAGTACAATCTCAGGAAAGAAAAGCAGGAAGGAAGCCCCAGGGTTATTAAATCCAGTCCTTTGCTGTTGCACCCTCATCAAACAGTCCTCTTCAGAATTTATGTAAAAAGTTTATAGGCCTCATGGTTGGGAGAAYATGATTTCAGCGTCACGTAACAGCTCATGAACAAGTTTCTCATATTTATACCTTAGGGATCTCTTAAGCAGTCTCATGGTTTTTGGAGATCTGCTGCTGCTTTTGAAAAATGTTGAGTTGGGCAATATTGAAATAAAGTCAGAAGATAAGTAATCACAAACACATTTCACTTAGAAATGTCAATGTTTTTGTAATAGGTCAGTAAGCAGCTATGAAAAGGAAACAGTTCTTGCCCAAGTTTGCTCATCTTGAGTTTGCCTACCCAGGCAGCTCTATCCCCCATATCTGTTCTCGAACAAGCTCCCTGCCATGGAAACATCACTTTCCTCAGGTGTGTCCCAGCTGCTGGATTAACCCGGGGTACGAGCTCTCTGCTCCATAGAGGAGCACTCGCAGGGACATCCCAGGGAGCACGGGGCCCAAACGGGGAAGAACGTAGGAAGAATGTCGCTTGAGAAAGGTGAGCACCGTGCGCGGTTTCAGCAATCCCGATGCTGCAGCACCAGGCCCCTGGAAATGGGATTATTCTGCAYTGTTCATAACGCAGGTTCCCAAATAAAGTGACTGTAAAGAGCTCTTTGGTGAGACAAAGTGCAAATCCGGGGCTGCTGTTTGGGTGGCAAAGAGAAATAACCGTGCTTTTTAGCAGCTTGACAGTGACGGCCCYTTGAGACGCTCTCAACCGAGGCAAACCATCAATTTTGCAAAAGGGCATTTTGCAAAGAGAAACGGAGCCGGGAGTCCCGAAAGTGTCGCTTTTCCCAACTGCGCTTGACTGAAAGGAAAAATTATCCCAGGCCATTCCCGCCCGTGGGCCGTCGCGGCCCTCCGCCTGCCCCATGGCTCTCAGCTCCCACCTGACAGACACAAGACAYGGGGGCTGCCACGGCCGCTGCCTCCGTCCCTGCGCCGTCGCYGGCCCCTTGCTGTTTGTGTCTTGGTGTCAGCTTTCCAACCTCGCTCACACCTGGATCTCCCTACAAATTGTCACGCTGTCATTTACAACCTTCAGCATGTGAATTATTCCTTAACGGAATGTTTGCTATATAATTAMATTTTTACAGCTGGGTAGGAGATGTGTGGTTTACAGCCTGGAGCTCGCGCACTGTTATTGGGGTGAAATGAGCAGATAAGAGCTTTCCTGAAAATTATCTGTATCAACAGGCTGCAAATTCCAAACGGAGGAGCAGGAGCCCCGCGATGAAACATTGCCTCTGCCCGAGCCAGACCACGGGACTGAGCTGGGCTCTGGGCTGACACTTCCCGGGAATGCTCTGAGCTTCCGGCTCCCTCGGGGTGCGGAGGGGAGGAAGTGTCGGGATCGATCCCGGCTGCTCYGTGCAGGTCATGCCTCATTAAAGCACGTTAGTCAGGAACCAAGGAGTTGAGCTGAAATGGAGGGGAAGGGAAAGCGTTGCCCAAAGCGACCCATGTTTACCCACCAGCACATCCCCAGGCTCCCTTCCCAGCACAGCAGAATGGTATATTATGTTCTCCATTTTCTTAACTGTTCCTAGTTTCACTCAACAAATCAAAGCGTTTTCTTGCAGGAGGGTAAGTCTCAGGTTCATATACTACTTCAGACTGGCAGCAAAGCCTTTGAAGCAAGGGCAGGAATATCTGATCGTATAAGGAAATTCAGCCAGACTGAAAGGGAGAGGGCAAATGTCCTGCAGAGCTTTGCCCAGTGGAAAGTTGATTGCTAATTTGCTTGGCTTTAAGTAGACTGAACTATTTCAAATTATTCCTTCTTATCCCTTGCGTTTTGGCCTTTCTCATCTGGAGTTACCTACAATGCGAGGCACTCAAGGCTTGCCCAGAGTGATGAGCGTGCTGGAAAACAGCTGTCAGAGGCTCCTCTGCCAGCACTGTGATTGATGGCTGTTTTCCGACGCAGTTGTTGATACTGTAGTGCTGATTGCAGGACCCTTCTGCTGCCCAGCACACCTACAGTGATGTATTTCTCTTTATTTTTAAATTAATAAGCTGCAGACTATTCACCACTAATGAATTTTCAACTCCAAGGGATGTCCAACCTACGTATGGCGAGACAGGACGTGAAAAAGACCCCGTGGGATGAACTGCAGCCACAGCCCTCGCACAGAGGGGCCTGGGCCAAGAATGACACCCTCCTCCCCACCTCCACAAACACTTCAGCTCGTAACAACAGCAGGGTTAAAGACCAATGGCAACAAATAACTGAACAGGATGCAAAAATAACCCAAATACGCCCCATGGGTTGCAGTGAGTGGACCAATCTGCCAAGGGCAGGGGGCGAATATTGGAGACTGCCTCTAAGAGGTATCTTGCACCCAGCACCACTCTTAGAACTGGCTGTGTCTCTCTCTCCAGTTACATCTATAATAATAATTATCTAAACAAATTATATACTCAGCAGCCCTGCAGACCCTCTCTCCCACTCTCTTAATTCATTTCCTACCTTGTTTCCCTCAASAGGAAGATCTCTCCGGGGATCYTCCAAACCCKCYTGGATGCTGCGCTGTGCCCCGTGCTCTGGGTGTCCCTGCTGGAGCAGGGGTTGGACTGGATGATCTCYAGAGGCCCTTCCAACCTCAACCATTCTGGGATTCCATAACATCCCAGCCGACCATCCCCTTCTGCAACTTCGAAAAAATAAAAGGGAAAAAAAAGACTGACCAAGGAAAGCCAACATCTACATTTTGTTACTACACAAACAAATCTCTCTTGTTGGGGTATCTGGGGTATCTCTTTTCCGGCCGTGCAGAGCACTCCTCGTCTTGGCTGCGAGCGCTCAGGTGTTTGCAGCTGCCTGCCGCCAAACACAGCAGCCATTAGTGCAAAAGTGGTAAAAGCAGCAAAACAAGCAGAGGGTGTAAGACAAAAAGAGCAAGAACGGACTTTGCTCCCCCATCCGAGTACTTGAGCTGGTGCTTCGTCTGCTCTTGCAGATCAGGGACCATTACTGAGCCYCTCACTTATGCTGGAGTAATTTGGTGGCAACAGATGCTTGTTACAGCTTTCTACCTATTCACAATCCAGGGCATAATTACACTTATTGAGAGTAAACCCAGCTCCTGTTTAGACAGAGCTTTGCCATTCGTGGCAGCAGGAGCTGGTTAGAACCCACGGAAGATACAGAAT